CCCCATTCCCCATTCGTCCCTTTCATAAAAAAATATACCGATCTCGCAACGGCCGATTTAGATCGGGATATTTGAAACAGAAACATGGGAAAAAAAAATGCGCGCGTAAAAATCGGCGACTTACATTGAGCATATCAATTAAACCCTGGAATCCCTGATGGGCGTGGGAGTCGTTGACGGGCAGGTGGAGGGTCTTGCGCATCTCCTGGGCGGAGGATCCATCAGCGCCGTACGCGGCCATCGACAGAACCGTGTGCGCGCTCAAGCCCGAGCTCACAAAGTTTCCCTTGTTTTTGCCGGCTAAGCTCTGGAACACAGACGCCCAAATGTGGTACACATCCCCATATCGTACATCCACCGCACATATAATTTTATGCTCAAGTATTGACGATTTAAATTAATGCATGTTATTATCGACGAACCTTGTGAAAGTCAGTGGTGAATCCCTCGGCACCCTTGGTCACGCTCAGGACCGCTTCGTCGATTTTTTCTGCCATTTCGTCGAGAGTTTTACTTTTTGTTTGTCCCTCTTGATACGTCGGCGATACTCGTGTCACTGCAGCCCAAGCAATTGTCGGCCACGTCTATGTAACTCCAAGTGTCGAAGTTGGCTGGCAACCGGGCTTGTATATATACCCACGCAAGGTGTGTAGGTGGTGTAGGCGCCGGCCAAAGTGGGGATCGGATGACTATATTTTTTACTCTGCGTTCCATGTGTGTTTATCACCGGCTACACCGTATACATATGAATTTCGTTAAATGTGTGTGCAGTTGGGATGATGCGACTTTTAATGATTCATTTCGTATACACACCAGTACTTACTTGTTTGTTGAATTCCCATGGACACACGAACGTTGTCGTATAAGTATTTTCTTAACAACAAAAAAATACGCTTGTTGACCTAAAACAAAATATAGTAAATAATGAATTTCAAAAACTAGAAGATTGCGATAGAGAGAGGAAAATTCGGAAAATTTGTTGCAATGCTTAGAGAAAAAACTGCAAAACTTACGGCATGGCTGAGCTGATTATTATCACCTGGCGATTATTAACTATGTGCTAGATAGATCGGTTAGTCATGTGCGTAGAACAAGCGCTCCTCGAAGAAATATGATTAAAATTAACTGTACGTGTATACGCGTCATAGGTGATTAAAATAACAGGTGCAATCATGATGGACGACGTAAAGTGAAAAGGGACCTTCAAATTATTTTTTATTGTACAGCTGTCTCAAGATTTACTAATGAGTTCTATCTACATCCACGTGGTATGGGACAATTGGCTTGAAGAATTAAAGTGCAATCATCTATTACAATTCACTGATTTGTCCACGTGAATTAAAAATTAGCCGATTCTCTTCGATTCTCTTGAAAACAATCCGACTCTCTTCAATTGCCGATATATTTCAAAAATTTTATTATCACGTTACTTTTCATGAAAAAATGTATTTCAACCGATTTCTTGGACCAACGTCACATCTCATCAATACTTGCTGGTCATTAGGATTACTAATTGTACCACCATAATTAAAGGTTTTTTTTTGTCGAATATTTATAGTTTTTTAGTAAGTACTTGGTACAATAAACAAATAAAAATTCCAAGCGTTGAGTAACAGAAATTTTTTTTTTTATAGAGCAACAAGCTTGGAAAAGCAATTTGGCGTAAATGTTTAATACCAACTAAGATAATATCTATGTCTCTTCGTGTTCAACAAATTCTTTCGAGTCATGCCCATTCTAAACAAAAATTTAAATTACAAGCGTATATTTTTTACTTGATACTTGATACTTTTTAATGTATGTACTATTTTTTTTATAATGTCACGTACGATATACATTGATCCACGTATATACGTGACAATCAATTCAACATTCCTAAAAATGTAAAATTTACGCAAAAAGAATGTTTTAAAATAAAAAAAACCTTACTATTGTATGTATATGTGTATAATTATATTGTAAATCTCTTTTATGAGTCAACAATTAAAACAACAACGGTGTATCATTTTCTCCACATTTTTGCATCATTTTTGAGATAAGTACAAGGGATGATTACAATTTTTTAGAGATCAAACAAGTTCACGATATCTGAAAGAATTGCGTTAGTTTGATAAGTATGTATAGATATTCTGCGTAAAGAACATGATATGCTGTACAGTTGTTTGCAGTTGTTGTCTTTGTTGATGTATTAATTATGTTGTATGTTTGTTTTCCAGTTGCGCTGCGCAATAAGTCAATCCTATGGGCTACATATGGTCGATTTTATTAAACCATACAAATATAAAATCTATACTTTTAAAGGTAGATTTTTGGATAAAAGGTAAATTGTAAGCTTGCCGCAAATAGCACAAACAAAATTAAATTTTTATCTTCTGTGTATAAAATTAGTTGCGGCTGGTTTATAACTAATTGTGTGGCTCTACTATAAGTAGTAATAATTTTTTTGAACAGCGCCATCTAGCGTTTCGGATTTCTGAACTAAAAAGTGGCCCTAAACTTTTGAACCGGAGCTTTAGCGCTTGGAGCCACTTAGCTTATTACAAACCAGCCGCAACTCATCTTGTACTTTTAAAATAAAAAAATAATTGTATATAAGTTTTTGGCGGCAAGTTAACTATCTATTTTCTACCAAAAATTTGACCTCCTATGTATTTACACTTTTGAAGATAAATTTTCGAGTAAAAAATGATAGTTAACTTGCCGCCAAAAACACATGTATGATTATTTTTTTATTTCATAGCTACAAAATAAGTTGCGGCTGGTTTATAATAGATTAAGTGGCTCCAAGCGCTAAAGCTCCGGTTCAAAAGTTTAGGGCCACTTTTTAGTTCAGAAATCCGCAACGCTAGATGACGCTGTTCAAAAAAATTATTGCTCTTATTACAGTAATGTCGTATAAACAATTATAAACCAGCCGCAATTAATTTCGTTAGTATAAAATAAAAAGTTAACGTTATTTGTTTTATTTGCGGCAAGTTTGCAATCTATCTTTTACCCGAAAGTATAAATATGTAGGAGGTCGATATTCGGGTAGAAAATAAATTATAAACTTGCCTCAAGTATTACAAATAACGTTTACTTTATATATTGTACTAACTAAATTAATTGCGGCTGGTTTATAATTGATTATATGACACTACTGTAATAAGTAGTAGTAATTACTAGTAGTAATTTTTTTGAACAACGCCATCTAGCGTTGCAAATTTTCTGAACTAAAAAGTGGCCCTAGAATTCTGAAGGAGAGCTTTAGCGCTTAGAGACACTTAGTCTATTATAAACCAGCCGCAACTCGTATTGTAGCTATAAAATGAAAAAATAATTATACATGTGTTTTTGGCGGCAAGTTAACAATCTATTTTCTACCAAAAAATTGACCTCCTATGTATTTATACTTTTGAAGATTAATTTTCGAGTAAAAGATAGATTGTTAACTTGCCGCCAAAAACACACGTATAATTATTTTTTTATTTTATAGCAACAAAATAAGTTGCGGCTGGTTTATAATAGGCAAAGTGGCTCTAAGCGCTAAAGCTCTGGTTCAAAAGTTTAGGGCCACTTTTTAGTTCAGAAATCCGCAACGCTAGATGGCGCTAAAAAAATTTTTACTCTTATCACAGTAGGGTCGTGTAATAAATTATAAACCAGCCGCAATTAATTTTGTTAGTACAAAATAAAAAGTTAACGTTATTTGTACTATTTGCGGCAAGTTTGCAATTTATCATTTACCCGAAAATCGACCTTCAAAAGTATAGAAATTCTACTTATATGCTTTAGTAACTCTCATATTTTGTGACAAGAAGCTGGAAAAATTCTGCTGGGAGAAAATACTTACGTAAAATATATAAATATACAGGTTATACATGCTCCGAATTTTATTTTACATTGCTGTAATCTCGTAACCTCTAAGTAATATTGGAACAATAACTTCCGTTTTTTCTTTTGTACCGCGCGCTAATGCCACTGCACTTACTTGAACCGAGTATTAAGGGTTAAAAGAGTAAAAGTTTTTATTTATTAATGATTTAGTCTGAATTATAATGGATGAAACTTGTAGTATTGATGATTACACAATAAAATTAGATGATTTAACAGGCAAACAATTAAGTGTTCATCTCTTCAGCAATGTGCAAAATATCGAGGAAATTCACGAAAAACTTATGACAAAGGAATTGGCATGTTGCATCATTAAAGCGCAATTAGTTTTGGATCCTTTTCAAATTGCTGTGGCTGCAAATAAAGCTGCTCTGAATGAAAAGTACAAACAACTGATTACAAGAACTTTGTACACAGAAGTTATATATTGTTTATCAACTTCGAAAAATATATCACAGTCTTTGACTACGTTTGGAATCTCTAATGAAGTTAAAGACATTGTGGTTGTGCAGATTTATGATACTAGTGAAAAAAAAGCTCTAGAGAAGCTTATTGACAGTGTCAAAGGTCAAAGAGTGCCCGTGTCCAAACTGCCCGAGTTTTCTAATGTTGATTTAATCAAAAAGACTTACAAAATTGACAATGAAGAGTTAAAGGTATCTAGCTTGTTAGATTCTGTAGTTAGTAGAATAAGTGATAAAATTTCAAAGTGAATATGTTTACAGCTGATACTAATATAAGTTGAAAAGGTGTTTTATCAATAAAAAACGTGTCAAATTGAAAATTTTTTTATTTGCTTCCATTGTTACCTACATGTTCATAGTATTATTAAATTACATTGGAAGGTCGCATTAACCTTGCATTTTGTGATATCCCACTTTTGTATGAGATGCCTTTCTTTTCCTCTCATATCACAGTTTTAATTTTTTCTTCATGTAGTGCTATTGTATTTTATTTTCATAAAAATTGCAATAAGAACGTTGAGTGGCTAGTTACAATAATCAGTCATTATTGAATGCATTCCTCTAGGCTGCTTTATGATCTCTTTAAACGTCTTGATATCAATTTATTAAAAAATTTAGATTGGCATTCTAAAATAAATTTTGTTTTATAAGATTTTATCACACCAAATGTTTTAGGTAAATTTTTTTGCTGCGATCTGCACAATAATTACCTCGGTAATCTACATATATCGCAAATATCAATTTCTGCTCGATTGAGAAAAGTGCAGTGTGAACAAGTCCAACTACTACCGGCAGTTCCTATGCCCACTGATCCAGTACTTGAAGAACGTGGTAAGTTGTTTTCAAAAGTTGCGTGTCTATGCGACGGTCCAGATTGTGATGTTGCTGATATAAGTTGTTCAACAGTTGCCCAATGCTCAGACCGAGCCCATTCATCAGCTTTTTGACGGTCACCAGTACGAATAGCTTCCAATAATGCAGCCATGTGATTCTAAAATGTAACAATATAAAATTATAACTTTCAAGAATACTACTAAAGCAATTTAAAATTTACCTTTAAAGGGAGCATATCCATGCAAGCAATAAATAATAGCAGATGAAAATCTGACACAGCTTCAAGGAACTGATCAGGATTAAATTGCTGCATATAAGTGCACAAGGAACTGAACTCTTGGAATTGACCATCTATCAACCTGCACAAAAATTGAAGTGATGTTATCAATGATTAGTACTTTTGTAAATCATTAATTAAATTTTGATAATTTACCTGTTTTCTACAGGAAAGGGTGTAATATTGTCTTTAGCGTAGAACGTGAACAATGGCGTTATAGGTGTGGATGTTGGGACATCAACAAGTAAGTACTCAACTGGTAATGGTCTGGCCAATCTTGAGACTTCATTGCCATAGGTATCTTTTTCCTTAAACAGAAGCGGATTGTGAATTATGCAAAACAATCATAACAAAATGTTCAATTAAATCCAATTATATATACTTTAATGAACTTTTAAAACTCGTAAGACATAAACAACTAATTAATCCAATGTTACTTCGTGCGTCCTAACTTTTGTGTATTAAAGAATATAAATCACCGAATCTTATTGTAAAGTAACCTAAACGTAAGACATAAATTTCGAGCAAGTTATAAATGTACTTAGGATAAACAAAATCACGAGTTTATTCTAGCCATCCTGCACCTTGAGGCTCAACCATGCATGTAGTAAGTATTAAGTTCATCATCAGCATCCCGATATGCACCATATTACCCTTATGGACATCGATAGATGGGTATTACAATGAGGAATTTGAATTTTGCGCGAATCATTAATCATTGCTATAGTTTTGCACACGCTTTAACGCCCCCTACCGACCAAAAATGAACCAACTGAAAATGTATTTTGGTGGGAAGTGGAAAATTGACTAACAACATTTTATTTATTGTAGTCTAGTTTGCAAACGAATGTTGTACACATTAATACAACAGATATAGTTCAGTGTCGAGTGACGTTTAACGAAGACAAAAGAGAGGCAAAAAGAGAAAAGTTGAAGAGATCCGGCCTGGTTGCGGCTTGCGATAGCTCACGTGAGCAAGTATAGGAGAGAAAGAGAAACGCCATTGTCCATTAGCAAGCGTGTTGCGGGTTGCGGGTACTGCGGGTGCGGGGGAAAACGAAGAGCTCGACAGTCGGCAACTCGGCACGTCACCCCAAGCTTCTGTGTATCCCAAGTATCCCAACTAACACTTGCAGGTATATATTTGGGATTTACATTTGAATAAGAGAGAGCTATAGTTAATCTCTCTTTTTTCCTTATGTTCCCGGTTGTTGTATAGCGCTCTGCCCATTGCAATTTTGCAACCAAGTGTTTTGCACAGTGGAGAAGTTGGACCCTCCTTCCCCACCCCACCCGGACTCCGATCACGGACAAGTTACATATACGCAAAGTGACTTGCATGCGGCGGCAAGTCTTTAACATCGGCAGTGAAGAGAGGTGAAGTGCGAGACGGGTGCGTGACTTTCGTTGCTGATCTGATCAGTGTGTGTACTGTGTGCTTAATAAGCGCATACAACTACGCTACGCGCGCCCGTCCGTCTAAAACTCCGAACCGTCTTAATTGCGTCCTATAGTGCTGGTTTTCTGGGTAATACTCAAACCCAACGAGCAAAGAAGAGTATACTTACACCTACTCGTATATCTACGACGGGCAAACTTCAAGGGAACAACCGGGAAAAAAACAATACTGCACTCTCATTTGTAAGCAGCGGCGGCAGTTGTGCATTTCTCTCTTGGTCTGCAGTGCAGAGCAGTTGTGTAGTGCAGTGTTCTTCTACTGTTCCGATTGTACGAACGAGGGAAGGAAAATAACAGAGCGGTGGTGGTGCTCTGGTGGTGTACGGTGCGCGTCGAGTGCCGTCGCCGCAGCTCGCCATGCCAGTAGCAGTGGTTAGTGTTATTGATTGTTGTTGATGATGATAGTTTATCCCGTTTGAATGCGTTCGTCGTCTGTATACTCTTTCAACTTCACGCTCCATGGTTCGCGCGTCATTTTGCACGTATTCGGCAAGGAAATTCACGAGGTGAAGGAGGCGGTCCCGCGGTCGTCGTGTACACATGCACATAAATATATAAATTGTATATGTATAAACGGGCGTTGGTGTGCGTAGGAACGAGTATAGATGTGTCGCGCGAACGCGCGAGCTGCAGTAAACGGAAAAAATAAAAAAAAGCTAGTCTACTTGGAAGCAAGGGATTAAAAGGTGGCAAAGGTCAAAGCATCTCTTTCCCCCGAAAATGTGATTTTGGTGCTTTATTGGCTGTTTCTAGTGAACTTTCACTAAGTTCGTTCTCTCCTTGATCCAGACCCATGGGTTTGTTTATTCTTGTTCAGCTTTTCGTTTTACCTTGAAAACCCTTAACATCGGACTGCGATGAGGTCGTTTTATTTATTTATTTACGTTTTTGTACATCAAAATGCAGTCGGCATAAACGTGTTCTCCTTTCAACTCTATCTTTGCAAGTTTGCAGACAGAATGCTAATGTCAAGCATACTGTCAGATACATTATTCGCCCGCGAGTATTTTGACCGTCAAAAACGAATGATTTCAATTTTTCACAAGGAATATTTTTTTAGAGAACCCAGTCGCTGGTTTTGGCTTTCATAAGATGTAGAAACGCATGAATTTTGTAAAAAGTAGGTTAGCGTCTTCCACTTGTGATTCATGAGTGTGGATTTTCAATAAAAATATTGAGGTGTTGATACAGGAATATTTTGGCTATAGATAAGCGATTATAATTTAATTGATCAGCCAGTATTGTAACCCATTATCAGTCACTCATCAAATTTTAATCGATCAATCACATTTATGGATACAGTTATACTATTGATACTAATACCTAATGAGGAACAGAGAGTTTGTTGCTAAACAATACTTATGACATAGCAATAACTTTAAGAGACATCTTTGAATACGTGGTATAAGTCTTGTATGTACAAACGTATAAATTATAAAATAATACTAATCACAGTTTTATATAAAAAAGGGGGCTTGTGTTAAGTAAAGAAAAATCCTAAAGGGTCATTTAAAAGTCTGAAAGTTGGTGAAGATTGAAATGAAGTTTCCTACTACCTTGTAAAAAGAGCGTCAAGCCCCCTTGTCGGTAATAAACATAAATGATTTCTAATAACTTGGCAATTTATGGTAAAAAAATATACGAGTACCCTAATTACATTTGAAGAGTCAATCTTGACACGCTTGCAACAGTCCTTTTATTCATTCAGACGTGAGCCCGCGCACCCATAGAGATCGTAACCATCGTGAGTAAACCGTCACAAATGACCGTCACGCCGACGTGGTGTGGTGGTGTAAGCGCCGTATTTATATAGGTATAGTTGAACGCGCGGGTTGGAAAAAGATAGCGTACAAACGGAGCACACGGAGTCACGATGTAGAGAGCGCGAGCGCGCTTCGGAGAGAAAGAAAAGTGCGAACGAACAAGCGGACGGACGGAGAGCGGAAGGAAAGCTTATACTCGCGGCTCCCGACAGTCCCGACCCGACCAACAGTTGTCGCGAGGACTGTGGTGCAGAGTAGCGGGTTGGGGACGCGGCGCGCGCCGACGACGACGACGTTCGAGAGGTAGAGTGTGCTGTGCAGGGTCGTGTGTGGTGAACAACATTATGTGTGTGCGTGTTAGAGAAAGGCAGAAATATTGATGTGTGGTAGTAGCATCCAAGTATGAATCTACGTGTATGTGTACATAGGTTGAACTTCCAACACGTCATTTAGCGGCTGCCAAAGCAGTTGCTGCAGCATCATCGCCAGAGTGTTCGGTGTATACCCCTCTACCTTGGGTTGTGCAGCAACGTAGGAGAGGCATCTTCCCGAGTCTCTTTCTCAGAAACGCGGGCCAGCACTCTGCTCTCTTTCTCTCACGGTTTTCTATCTCTTTCTGTCTCTTGGGATTACATGCTCCGAGAAGAGAGAGCAGAGAGCCCGTCCATTCCAAGGCCACAACATTGTCAGTAAATCGTTGCGAGAGGACCGAGTTCAGCACGACTAGCACAGCTGTAGTTTTTTTTTCCTTTTTAACAACACACTTTCGTACCGTGAGCTGTTGTTGCTGTACTTTCTGACCGATGGCTGGAGCAAGAACCGCGAACGCGTGAAGAAACGTCGCCGAGTAAACTTATAAGCAGCAATAGCCAGCAGTGCAGGGCGCGCGCGCGCTCTGCTCATGCGGACTGTACTCTCGCCGTGTCGACGACGAGCGGTGTTACACCATGTACACGAAGGAGAAAGAGCCGATGCTTGCGGTAAAAAATTTTCTCGCGGTAGATACTTACTTTTTTTTTTTTTTTTTTTTTTTACTGGCTGCGCAAGAGAGCTGCTGCTCGGTCGTTCGTTCTTTCGAATATCATTTATATTCTCATAAAAAGCATATTACACCATCGTACGTGTACGCGCGTGAGTGTTTAGCAGAGTACCGAGTTGGAGGGGAAAACAGCAGCCGCCACCGCTGCTGGTGGTGCTCCAAATGTGTGTGTGTGTTTTGTGTACAAGGATACGCGCGCGTGTATTATTTTTATTTATCTATGCCTATAGCTATATACGTGCGTTCGTGTGTGAAACGCGTGTAGGATTCGCAAGCCTTCCCGCGCGTACTTTCAAGTCTGCATACTTTTTTTTCTTCTTCCTCCGACGAAAAATACTATAACCGAGCTATACCCACACTCTGCTCGTGGCGCTGTTGAAGCGAGACGGATGCTGATTGTGTTAAAATGTTACGTGTGTACGTTGTACTTATAAAACAGCAATAGCCGCTGGAGTAAAGAGGCGATGCTGATAAGAGCACAGCGACGTACACACGTACACATTGTTATCGAATGTGTGTGAATCCATTCATACATATATATTTACAGCAACGCGACGGCATCAGCGAGAGTATGTCCACGAATCGGGACACGCTATTATCGGTTTTTCGCTTCGCGATGATCGGACGGCAGCCGGTAGAGCGTTAAAGTGTTATGTGCTCGTTTTTTTTACTACAGATCCAAAACACACATGGTCCAATACATGTACAATGTTGCACCTGCGATCCTCACCCTCGATTTACAACACTTCTCCCGTTTCTCCCTTTTTTTTGTGTTTCTCCGGTTTACAGTGTACGTGTACACATACATGCGCAAGAAGAGAAAAAGAACCAGAGGAGAGAGAGAAAGCAGATGGAGCAGCACACATCGATTTTTTATCTTTCTTTCGCAGTGCCGGCATTCTCTTTCGTGTCTCTGTACCATACGTGTGTGTGTGGATGCGACGCTGAAGAAAGCTAATATTATAATATTTAAGACAAAGAACACCGAGAGAAAGAGGAGAACCAGAGAGAACAGTGCGTTTTGGTGCACATACCGTGTGGCGCAGTAAATCGGCAAAGCCGTGCAATTTTGGCGGGATTCCCCGGCGCATGCGTCTGCTGCGAAACTCTCATTTCTCTCCCTCATCGGTTGCACATTTTTGTCTCTTCTCTCTCTCTCTCTCTCTGCATTGTTGTGTATACTCTCAAAATGTCATCCCCTAGTCCATATGTGTACATAAAATCGTTATTATTCCTTACGCTATTTTGGGTCCCTTATTTCGGAGTTCTCTGTGGAGAATCCGCATAGCACTAGGCTGGTTCTTTTTCAAAACTGCACAAAAAGTGCATACAGTCGCTTGTCAACGCAATTCATGCTCCGTTATTTTGGAGCACGGAAGACTCCGACATTCAAGCGTTTTACTCTTAAGAACGTCACCTCGTGCGTGCATCCCCGCGCCGTATTATGATTATGTATATATGTGTTTGCCCAACAACAACGTTGCAGCACTGTTGAAGCAGTTAGCGACACGACATAGGAGAGGGGCTTGATGAAAGAAAGATGAAGGAAAAAAAAAAAACGAAAGAAATTATGAAATTAGTGTGTTCCGAAATCTTTGCTGGCCAGTTACTTGTTAACTGTTCCCTCCACCGTACCTTTCAACTTGCACAAGCGACAACGTCTTTTCGCTCTCGTTCGGCTTCTGAACGTTCGTATAACACGCGCACGTGAACGCTTTCTTTCTCCCCCTTCTCTCCGTATTTTTCCCGGCGATTGATTATTTCGCGCTTGACAGTGAGTACGTGTAAGAAAGAGTTGTGTTGGTTGCTTTTTTTTTTTTTTTTTTTTTGTGACGCAGCGTTTTTCTGCAAAGAAAGATTTGAACATACGTATAGCGCTTCTTTGACACGTTCAGAAGAAAAATTTGTGTTATTTGTGAATAATTACAATATTTATCACACTAGGTGTTGACTCAAATGTTTCACGTCAAATTATAGGCATGAAATGGAATCTACGTATTCAATAAACTACTGAATCATCAGAGATGCGCTGTATGTGTTTTAAACCAACAATAAAAGAAAACAAGAAAAAATCATCGACTAATAAAGTATTTGTCTTTGTTTTTTTTTTTTTTTTTTTCAACATGTCAACTACAGATGCTGGATCCAAACGTTTTTTCGGACCTAGAGGAGCTGACGCTTTGCAGTTTCTGCAAACAAAAGTACAATGATACAGACCAGTGTCCGAAGTACCTCAGCTGCAAGCATTACTTTTGTCTGCGCTGCATCGAGACGAACCTATTGAAGGGCCGCGAGCTCTTCTGCGCTCACTGTTGGAAGAGAACAGAGCTGGGAGACCAGGGACCCGATGCCTTGCCGACTTACACGTCTCTCCTAACGTTAGCCAATAATTTCTCGCACCTCAAAATTAATCAGAACAATGTCGTCGTACCCCCCAAGCCCAACGATAAAGAGAGAAAGGTAAAGCCAATGAACGATACTTCTTCCATACTTTTTTTTTTTTTACAAACACTACTTTGACGACAACAGCATTTAATCGAAACTATTTGCCAAGTATGCCTATTGCGGCTAATTGGCGACTGGTAATCGTGTGACGAAATACGAATATTTCATTACTTTATCCATATTACGCGGTATGTCGAGCTAATGAAATAATCTGTATTCTAAACTTTATGTAAATTACCGAATAAATTACCATCTACGAGTATTGTCGTTCAAACCAGTCGTTTTGTAATATTTTCAATACACGCTTGAATACAAAAATCGACAAAACAACGTTATCAAATAAGCGCGGTAAAATAAAAAAAATAAAAAATTAAGACGAACCAAGTCTCGATCGGATCTGATGCAGGGCATTTTCTACCTGATTACACAATTTTCTCTAATTTCATATGCAAGAATGCACATATACGCACACACTCATGCAATACGTAAGAGGGGAGTAGCGAAAAAAAAAAACTTGTCACATAGTTAGATGTAATGCTACAAGTGCCGAAGCCATACTTTGCTCGAGTGAGAGAAGGAGAGCGCACAAACAGTCTTTCGTGCGAAGGCAATGAGATTACGCGCTGTTTAAGGTCAGCAGGACTTTTGCTCTCTCTTTCTCTCCCTCGGTTCGCGGTAAACGAAGTTTTTCCCACAATAAAGGATACTTATAAGCGCATCGAAGCTGGATTGTACTTTTAAATGGTATATATTATATCGTTTTCCCGTGTATTTGTGTTTGCAGAGCGAGAATTGCCATACCCACGGAATGCCACTCGCGCTCTGGTGCGGGACTTGTTGCACCGCGCTGTGTCGGGCGTGCGCGACGCCGCAGGAGCATCCCGGACACCAGATCAAATCACAGACTGATGCCAAAGAACAACTCATGTCAGATGTGAGTATACCATAGTTATTTTCAACTCTTTTAAATGCCTCTGCCTGGCTACAAGAGGATTACAACAAAGTAAACCCATTAGTTCTGCCGTAAGAACAAATGGGGATTACGTGAAACGTTGACAGCGCGGAAACGCTGAGTGCTTGAGTTGTGATGATTTAATTGTTTTTTCTTTTTTTCTCTGTCTCGTTTGTCCAGGTTCAATCAGAATTAGTGTCAATGGGTAAGCTGTCGGCGGAGATCCAGCGGTTGGCGATACAGCAGCGCGAGTTTCTCATAAAGGTCCTCGAGGCATGCGTGACCCTGAAGACCCACGTTGAGACTGACCTGCAGAACGGCTGGAGCCACATTCCGGAGGTGACGGACGCGCGTGAGACCTTCGGCAAAGCGAAAACCTCCCTCCAAATGTCCGATGGCCCAAGCGACATTTACAGCCTACACACCGAGCTCATCGTCGAGAAGCAGAGGCTACACACCAAGTACCAAGAAATGATGCTGCAGTGCCAGCTCGACGACCTGATCGGCAACTCTGGCGTCGTATTCGATTTCGCGCTGCTCAAACAAGCCGTAGCGGGCATCCATTCAGGCGAGCCCATCGTCGCGCAGCAACCGGGTAACGGTGGCCGGCTGCCCAATCACCTCGCTGCCTCGCAGAATCCCATCCTTTTCCTCGCTAACTATTGCATGTCCCAGCTGTACTCGAGGCACGTCGTTAGCAAACAACAGCTCCAGAACGGTTCAATTGAGTACCACATGCCGGCCCAGGTGGCCACGGTTCACGTAGCTCCGGCGGCACCGGTTCCGCCGCCCCAGCCCCCTCAGCCACCTCAGCCACAGCAGCAGCCCCAGCAGCAACCTCCGCCGCAGCAGCAGCAATTGCTGATTCCTCCGGGCTCTCCCTCCGTCGTGAAGCCGAGCGTGGTAGTTGCGCCGCCGCCAAATGCCATACTCCAGCAGAACGCGACGGGCTTTCTGAGCGCAGCCGAGGCCGCGGCCGCGGCAGCAGCGAACGCTGCCGGGAACGCAGGCCTCGTGCAAGTCCAGCAGGCGCCGGCGAACCTGCGTGGCCCCTCTAATTCGTACCCGTTGTACTACTTCAACATCGAGGTGAACGGCTCACCACACGGTCGTATCGTCATCGAAGTGCGGCCTGACGTTGCGCCCAAGATGGTGAAGAACTTTAGCATGCTGGCCACGGGCGAGATCGGGGTGGGTTACAAGGGCTGCACAATTTTCCAGTGTTGGGAGGGTGAGAGCGTGATCACGGGGGACTTTGAGCTGAACAATGGTCGAGGAGGAAGGAGCATTTTCGAGGATGGCTATTTCATGCCCGACGATACCAAGTTTCCCGCAGTGAGGGGTGCCGTAGGCATGAGACGCACCCAGAAGCGCCACGACAACCTCGGCATGGTCGGCTCGCAGTTCCGTATTATCCTGCAAGAGATGCGCGGCTTCACTGGTATTTTCGGCCACGTGGTGGAGGGCCTCGATCTCGTTGAAAAGATCTCGACCTTCGGTGATCAAACCGGCAAACCCACCAAGACCATCCTCATCACCAAGTGTGGCAAACTGTAACGAATGCCCGCAGATGACGCCTTCTTCTCCCCCAGCGACTAATGTACGGGGCAAGTCGTTCGTGCTCCATCTTCTTTTTCACCCCCTCCTGCTACTCTATTAGCTACGATATTTTCCCCTTTTTTTCGTACGGGAAACCACGATCAATACACGATTGCACATAAACGTTTGTACACGAGGCGATTTTTTTTTATGAAGATGATTTTTTGCGATTGCGATACCGATATAACGACTATGATGATGGTGGTGATGATGATGATGATGATGATATAGTGATATACTGATGATAATGACGATGACGACGACGACGAACGATAACCATGATGATGATGATATTGGTGATAATTAAGATGATTTAAAAAATGATGTTTTTCCCTAAAATTATTATAACTATGTGTAATCATCGCGCGCCGTATTTGTCAAATTATGATAATAGTTATTATTATTATTGTCGATTGGGAGAAAGTCCATTTTTTTGTCGATAAATAGGGGAAACCTTCATATTATTAACGTCCGCGGGTACTTGAACGTTTAGAGTCTCTGTTAAAGAGGTTGCTAAAAAAAATTATTTTTAAAACGTGAACGAGTTTAACAAAAAATAAAAAATATGATGATAAATATTGAGAGATATCGGAAAAATCGGCGATTATGCGGAAACGTAATTATTGAGAAAACGATAATAGATGACAAATATCGATATTTTCCTAACGAAAGCGAGTCGAGCTATCTATTGAAAAATATTAAACAAATACACAAACGTAAGCGCATATATTAAACGCATATACATACACTTATAAAGTGTTGAAAATAAAGATGGGAAACAAAACTTCTTGTCTGAACTCGCGAGCGACGCGATAGATTTTTTGAACCGATGCATATACACGTACCTCAGATTGATGCGACTCCTATAGTTAGCAAAATTGAATACGGTAATGAAAATTGTTTTAGCAGATGACGACGCGACGATTAAGAGATAAATAATAATAATAAAANCTTGAAAGTTTTAACGCTGTTAATTGTGTATCTGTGTATCGCGCGCGCGCTTTACAAAATTCATAAAAAATAAAAGCTAAGCATTAAGCTCTGAAGTTTATTTTCGCTATGGTATGTATATATTGGAATTATATACACGCGTATATACACGTAATAGTTGAAATGTAACTTGATCAAGTTAAGAAGCGAGTAAAAAAATATTAAAATAATATTAAAAATCGAATGTGGTGCAGACATAAGTACCTTTTGTCACTTTAGTGATGACACTTTGTAAATGCTTCTTGATGTTACGGAAACAACATCACAGAACATCGATATAAACAAAAATTTCGTAAATCTTTATTTCCGTCTTTGAAATAGGTCGTAAAAACTCGCAATTATACGAATAAATTTTTTTTCATGCAATATGTGTAATGAATGCGTTCATGATTATTAACGCATATACTCGATTTACTTTTTTTTATTTCGCAATTTAATTTAAGAATTTCCTTATTCTTTGTTACGTGTAATAATTTTTCGTTTGTATTTACTTATAAATCGTAAATGGAAAAATAAAACGAAATTGAAATGATGAAAAAGTAAAAAAATTGTGTATTTATACTGTTAAAAACATATATGACTATGATCAAATTCAAAGTGATGAAAGCACATTTTGTCTGATATGGTACTTGTAATGTTTCAAAACATATGTGTAAAAAAAAAAAAAAAAAAAAAAACGCTATCCATAGAAGTTACTTGTTAGCCACGATATTTGCAGAGTGTGGGGAATTTATTAAGAATTATTAAGAAAGAAAAATTACTGTTGTAAATGAAGTAACAAAAAATATATATACACGGGGGAACGATCAACAGCACACGCGTATATATAAATATATACACATATATCATACATATATTTTTAGACAGGACTTGTATGTTTTTTGGCCGAAGAATGCAACCGCGTGTGGCTCAGCGTAGAGTCCGAGGAGTTAAAAGAAAAAAAAAAAAAAAAAAAAGTAAAGAAGCTCGTGTATCCTTCCAGAGGCAAGACGTGGATTGAGAGACACCGCCAAGGGAGCACATACAAAACAAATATTGTATATTAAATGTGATCATCGCGCAGCGAAATAGTGCGTTAATACTTAGGTAGACGAAGAATACGAGCATTATACTCGACGAACATTATATTTAGAGGAAAAAAAATAATAAACAACTGAAAAACACGATGTATGTACCCTACCGATCAAGCTCTCGATCTACTTTTGCTCTCCAATTTACACTAGCGAGCCTTCAACGTTATTAAAACCGCGTATATAAAGTTGATTAAATGAAAATAAATATATAAAATAAAATGAAAAAAAAAAAAAAAAAAAAAAAAAAACGATAAACGATAAACGCGACGACGGTAAATAAATACAAGTTTTGTGGATCTCATAACGCGAATGATCGAGAAAAAAAGAGAAAGGCTACGTATTTGTATGTGATGAGAAAATTTTGCCAGTAAATAATTGTCGTGAGCAAAAGTTAGGCCTAAACGATGTAACGTAACAAGTTGAAATATCGAAAATACAAAACGAAAGAAAATATACCTGTACGACGTCCGCGTTTTTTTCTCCCCAGCAAATGAATATTAAATCGATGATCTTTTTAGATGATTTTGAAAAGACAAATAAAATTAATTGAACGACAAACAAATATATCGTCGTGTGTCTTATTTAGGGTGCATGTTCTTTTACGCGAGTGTGTCCAGGAGTTCTAATGTAGAATATTTTTAGGTGTGAGCGACGTAAAAACATAGGTACACGTATGTATACACAAAGGAGATCTACGTGAGATATATAATTATATCTCGATTACGCGCGAAGCCTCTCCTTGTCTTTGTAGTTGAATAGAAAAAAGCGTTTTGTGGGAATGATGATGACGATAACGATTTTTTATAATTTTTTTTTTTGGGAATTAAGATTAATCACTTACACGGGCAAGGGATTGTAATGAAAAAATTTTTTTTCTCACCTTTGGGAATGTTAAAATAAAATGTTGAGAAAAAAAAGTGTATTGAATGATAATTATAATCATAATAATATTAAAAATAATGCAGACGCACGTGTACTAAGTCTGTGTATTTAACGGAATCATTCCTCGATGCTGTATATCGAAATAAATATAATATACTACGACTATCTAATGCGTAATGTGCTAATCATTTGTAAAATCTTCGTGAAAACCCATCGTTGCTGTAAAATTACCACGAAACATGGTTTGAAAAGAAAAAAGATTTAAAACAATATTGTACAAGTATAAAAAGATACGTGTGGAAAAGAAATCGAAAGCGTTAATGAAAACTATATAATAATAAAAAAAAGTAAAGATTTGAGGAATATGAAAAAAAAAAAAAAGTTTTGCCACAACACATGTTTGCCACGTTTTAGGGTGACAATTATACAAACAATGAGAGAGATAAAGCAAGACAGATACTACTGCTGCACTAAAACTAACTGCTGCGTTTCCGCAGAACAAGCGTTCGAACGATTGTAAACTATTTAAGCGATAAAAAAAGAAAAAAAAAAAAAAAAAAAAAAATTAAATAACAGCGCGAGCCACCTTAAATTGAGAAGAGCATACACGTACTCGTAAGCACGTAATAGCGTCCAGAGAGGTGAAATTGTCGTCGGAATAAGAAACGACCCTTCCGAGCGATCGTAAAAGACACGCCAGCCGAGTCTCTCTTTCACGATAAATATACAAATAAAAAAAAAAGAAAGAGAGAGAGAAACATAACTTCTTTCGTCGTGTTTTTTTTTTCGAATAAAAAAAATGAATACACTCGTAAATGAAAAGGAGAGCTAGTACTGTGTCAGCCACTGTCCGATAGAGAAAATCGATCGCGTTTTCCCGTGCAACATTCCGTAAGATAGTCTTCCAATAAAATCTAAGTTTGAAAAAATGTTATGAAAATGATAAGAGAGAAACAATACATCACAAGTTTTGCCCAATAGCAGTACTTACGCGCGCCTGAAGACGTTTCTTTCACGATCGCGAATTCGAAAAATAAAATGAATATACGAAGGTGAATTTTTGTAAAGCGAGAGTTTGAAAGTTAATACGCATCTTTAAGGTGGCTCCGTGTTTTTGTAAACGTGAAAAAAAACTTTATCGATATGTACAAGCATATTCTCGTCGAGATTAGCCGTAGGTAAAATTACAAAAAAAAATAAGAGAAAAGAAAAATACAGATCGTCACGAGATAATGCCTTTCACGAAGAAGAAAACCTCATTTCGATGTTGAACTTGAAAGTTTTAACGCTGTTAATTGTGTATCTGTGTATCGCGCGCGCGCTTTACGACCGTACGATCGACGCACGGCTATTACGGAAAAAAATTGTGTCGAATGTAATAAACAAATTAAATAATTAAGTAACAATAAAAAAATAAAGGAAAGAAAAAAAGATGGTTACTAAAAACGACCGAGTGGAAGAGAGTTGAAGAATGAAACGATTGGGTGTTTGTCGCGTTAGTCTAAACGATACTTACTTGTACAAGAGGCGCATGGATATGTAGTATGTATGACATGAATTAAAAGCGAAAAATAACGAAAGATTGTATGAGAAAATTTTTGACAAGCTTTGTTCGGACGATAATTAGTTTCTCTTCTTGATTTTTTCGGTTTTCGTAATGCAAATACACGAAGTAAAAAAAAAAAAAAAAAAAAAATTTGAAAAGAACGACGAAATCTATACATATTGTAACGAATTTGTTCCATGTATTTAAAAACAAACTGACGATTATAAATATATACTATGCAAAAAAATATAAATAACCACGAGAGTTTCTTTATCACAGAGAAAAAAAGTAAAACAAAATAGTTGAAAAAATAAGCGAAACTCCGATAAAGGAGATATACCGGAAGTATAAGCCACCTGTATATATATTTTTATGAAGTTAACGAGGCAACAACGCATAGCTTGTAACAAAATAAACAAATGTGACGCAAATTTCGAAACCGTTTTTTCCCCTCTTACCGAAAAATCGTACACACACACACACACACACACACACACAAAAGTGTAAAAGCGCAAAAAACCAATTCGTCTTTTGAATGGATTGTATATTTAAGTATACAATATATTGTACACACAAACACACCAAAACGAAGCGAAAAAACTGCAAAAAGCTTTATTGTAGACTGTTCTTCTTTTTTCGTTGTAACGAATGACACAAAAAACAAACTTGTTTAATTTTTTTTTACTCTTTAACGAAATGCAAGAGCGATATATTCAAAGGTCTTACATGTTATGTTCTTTTTGTTCCTGACCTAACCGATTTTTGGGTCTACTCCCTGGGCTACAACGCGTGAACGCCTGTGGAGCGCATATGTTTGGTTCGTAATAGTTGTATAATTGCGATTATCAAGTGTACGCTCGTTACCCAAGTTAATGTACTTTTAGATTGTCGATTTTCAGTTATGAATTTATTTCTTCGTGCAAACAATAATTGTCTTGTTTTTTCAATCCTCATCCTAACTCTAGACTTAAGATTTTTTTTCAAAGAGCACTGCTTCGAATTTGCTCAAAGTTACATTAAAACAAGAAAATATTTATCAAAAAAATTTTATTTTTCGGCACTGTGAAATATATAAGATAGTATTTTTCTGTTAAAATAACTTTTTTAAAGCACTACTCAATTAAAAAGCTAATATTTTAATAATTTTTTTATAAATAAATCGAAAATTTAACATATACCATTTACTTTTTTGCAATCGTTAAAAAATACTACATTACTATTCTCATTTCTCAGTTTATAAATGCCGAAAAATATATATACATAACATAAAAGTCTTACCTTGTAATAGACATCTGGAACGTATTGCTTATCAGTTGATTCAATGACGTAGCCCAACTCAGGAATATCTTTCGTTGGCACTAAACAACCATCTCTGACTAGCGCCATACACTGGCTGGTTACTTGATATCCTTCCATATGTACTTGGTTTTTATTGTCACCTTAAAAAATTTAGTATTAAAGAAATTTGTTGTGAAATCATAGTGACAGGCATAAGTTGAAAACAAGATGTAAACTTACCAGTGACACAAATCGTGACTGCCTTTGATCCAAAGAAACCTTTTTGTGAAAAGCGGCAAGGGTTGGGAAGTTTATTTTGTATATGACCAGCCATAATACATTCTTGTGCAGACAAAAAATGACTTTCAATATTTCTCACATGCTTGACCTGAAACAGAATAATTAATCGTTACGAGTTCAAGTTAAAAAGCAGATACAAGCAGATGAAACTCACTGTGCCTTTCTTGATGTCATCAGCAATTAAGTCAGTAAAAATCCATCCAACTTTTTTCAAATTCAAAGATTGAGCTAATTCATCTATCAGAGCTTCTTTCTCATCAGGCAAAAGAACAATAGAGTCCTTTGTACTTTCCTAAGGGTAAGGAATCATTTTCACAATACTTCCAATTTTTACGATGCTGATTGTTTATGACTTTAATGTTAATTTACCTGTGGTGGCTCATATATTGCAGCAACTACGGCTCTTATGCCTAAAGGTACATCAGGATGTATCTCATATCTTCCATATAAGTAACCAATCCGCTGATGTCCAGTTATACGCCAGTAGTTTAAAAACCGCTCGACTAAATTAGCGTTTTCAAACATGACATTATCCACATGTCGGTACGATTGACGATTTAGAGTAATAGCATTCGGCTGACATTTGCTGCATATGCCTTTAGGCCATGGCGGATGATCCTTGCAGCCGCTTTTTATACGACAGCTTATATCTTCTAATTGTAAAAATTTTCCTCTATAAGCAAAAGTTTATTTTATTTAATTAACAAGTTAAAACGTTTTTTGTACAATGATATTTCAAGTTCTCATACCTATCTACACCAGTTGTGAGTTTCCTCAGATACGAGTGAAAAGACATATGCTTAATATTTTGTTCCTTAAGGTATGATTCATCAAAAGGTTCCAATGGTGAACAATGAACACAGCATGCATTTGATCCATGCCGACAGCTGAAATATTTGCATGGATTATAATATGTGTGCATATATATATTTAAAACTTCAACATTAAAATGATTAATAAGCCTACTATTTATCATCTTTTTTCCTTAAAATCTTGCCATCTAGTTTCCAAAGTTGCTGATCAACATCATCTTCAATTGCAGTGGAGAGAAATTTCATAGAGCTGTTGATGGTTTGTTGACCTTGAGATGATTTACTTATACTTGGACTAATATCCATTGGTTCTGTAATCAAACAGTAAAATATCATTTTTTTTAAATACAATTTATTTTAGTACAATAAGAAAACTATATCTAGAATAATCAAACATTTAATGTCTATATTTATCATCATGAGTTGGCAAAAATTTTATGGAGCTAATAGTCAGGTTAAAACTTTGTGAGTGTGATTCCTTCAGAAAAAAATAACTATAATAATAACAAACAATCCTCTACAACAAAATTGAGTTAACTAAGACAAATGTCCATAAAATTTTTCCGTTCATAATTTTTAGGTTACAATAGTTATTTATTTACCACATACCTGAGGACATATCATTGGAGGCACTGCTGGTTCCTGGAACATCCCAAAGCACTGCACCATTAATTGGTGTCAAATACAACATATCTCCATGTTTCAGTCCCACTGCTTGGATAGTTTTACTTCTTGAAGATATAATTTCTTCTTTTTGATTACGTTGTTTATAAAGGCCAAAGCCAAAAGTTCGTAAATCAAATGCATTATAGATCTGTAAAAACCATGTAAGCATTTTAGGTAATTTCTCAAAATTATTTTGAGACGTAATTGTTAGATTATTCAATTACATTTTCGAAAGTCATCAAAGATACTTTTTATCAAAAGAATATGAATGATCTTTAGAGATATAATTTAATTGATAAATAGTTAAAAGCAATGATTTGCAAGTTGTGGTGACTACAAATAATAAATTGCATCAATAACCTCTATAAAATAAAACTTTACAAGTCTACCTCTCAAATGCAACTAAACTATGGTTGATTGGAAAAATTAATTGAGTTATTAACAACTATTAAGAAACTGTTGATGACATTAAACTGTTCAAGAATAAAAAATTATATTTTGTACATTGAAAAACTTTATAACTTTCTAAATGCTAGAAAAAAAGTAGCCTGTTACTCTGTTAAATTTAAATTTTGAAATAAAGCCTAGTATAGCATCATGTATAATTTACAATCAAGAACTAAGTACTTCATCAGCCTGTCACTGCATCAACAACATTGTTTACAAAATTTTTTCTATTCCTCATAATAATAAATTTGATGAACAAAAAAAAAAATTCAGAGCAGGAACGATAGCAGCAATCGTCCAGCTCATGAAAAAATTCAGTGAACAAAGAGAAAACTGCTTTAAAAAATAAAAAAAAGGTATAAATAACAAAACGTTGACTCATACCTTTTCAAAAAGCTGGCTAACAGAGTCAGAAGGATACACCTCGATGCGCTTGGTGCCCTCCGCGGATTGAACACGGAGTATCTGCGAACAATCCTTCTGATTAGCACTCATCCTCGCATCCCTTGATAAGCACAATGATATAAATATATTCCTCTTTTTACTCTCGCGAAAAAAGTCAACTCCGAAACAAAAAGAGCACACACGCACACACACGGCCCGAAAAGTATACGTGCGTTATGTGCCTATCTATATAATATGTGCGCGATTGCGATTATTGCGAACCACCGTCCAAAACAAAGTGAACACTGAACAGAACAGGGAACAGAACAGTGAGTAAGTAGGTAGTGAAGTGAACGTGTAAACACCACGTAAAGTATATAATATACTTAAGTGTTCACTCAAAAGAAAGAAAGATATCCCTCTGTGTACACACTGCACAGCTTTACAGAATCGAACACAAAAAATGTTGAGGTTAGACGGTCCAATGATATGTCAAATGACGCATGATTTTTTGAAGTTTCCAGGAGGTCTGGAAAAACGTGGCCGTCGAGATACGACGAGTTTGGAGTACCTAATCACATGGAAAAGTTGCCAGCTGCAGTCGTGTCTGGGGGGTTAGGGGGGAGGGAGAAGGAAACGATTTGATATAACGGGCTCGAGAGGAGAAGGGGGGGAGAGGCATACACTTGTACGTACACGTACCATGCACATACAGCAACAACAATGACAGTGACCCACTACTAAGTACTTAGTGATTTTAGGTTTCGGAGTCGCGTTTTCACCATCATAGGTAGGTATATTGTCAGGCATCACCGTTGAGATGCGAGAGCAGACTTTTACATTATTCGCTCTGCCTTATTTTGATGATTGGATTATTAGAGATATTTTTAAGATACGTGTTGAGAGAATGCACGTAAAATGATATGGGGATCGGTTTACAAAAAACGGGACCAACTTACGTTTGACATATCGCCGGTGAGGCTCGAGCTGCATCAGCATCAGCTGTTCTTCCTTGTCACCCTCTCTCTTGTTTTGGTACTTTTTGGCAATTGATGTCACTATACTTGTGCGCGTGTGTGCTGGCAACGGGACAAATGTCCAAAATGTCCCTAGTCCCAAATAACTAATTTTATTGGATACGTGAGTACTTACCCCTCCACAGGAACAATTTTAAATTAATTTCCACCTAGTAGAATCTCATTCATTCCAATAGAGTGGAAAATTTAATCTTTTGGACTTTTTAAATCAAATTTTGTAAAACGCTGTCCATGTTTTTATATTTTTTTAAATTACTTATCGCTTTTACGCAAATAACGCGTCAATATACAATTTTACGTTTGAGCGTAAGTTTTTGGCGCCGGCATATAATATGCGTTCCGTTTGTCCGAAATTAGGGATGATTCAAATTTCACGTACTTATTAGAGCCAAGGATATATTTTTATACCACGGCTAGTCACGTGTCTTTATTTGCAAGATTAAAAACGAAACACGATTGAACAGTCGTATATTGTAACTTTTTTGTACGACTGTATGAAAACTTTGAATAGAGAGCAAGGATTTCATTTCTTTTCCATTTACTTCATCAAAATGATTAAAAAAAGTGTAATGACTTTTAAAAAATGGCCTACGTGTCAATCGTATTACATAAATGTGATGAAGTACAATCGATTGTACTTCATCACAGCATTAACCATCACTGAAGCTTAAAATACACGAGACCAAGTTATAAATAGAAATTTCTTATATTTCCATTACGTTTCCATTATGATTTATGATAAGCTCAGCTCAGTCAAAGCAAGTTTCGAGTTTCGTTGAACGATTAAGTCACAGTTTAGAGGTACTTTGTGTTTATAGATAGGAGAAAGGAGCTCAATACTCCTTAAGTATACGCCATATTTCTATTTGAACTCTTTGTTCATACGCTTAGACCTTGTGGCTATTCAATTCAAGTATTCAAGGTATTTATACATCGCGTTGACAGACACGTGTATAGTAGCCTATTCGTGTGATACACGTGGTTTGCCACTCTAACATGATCTAGCTGTCTTCTTTTAAAATAAAAAATATTTTCTCCTAAAACAAATTACGGAAAGCGGCATTTTTATGGCAAAGTAGATGGAAAACTTGTAAAAAAAACCTTACACACCCTAAAAATGTGAACAAATATGTTTTTTTTTATATACCTAAATAATTTTTTTTTATCTTGGTGCAAAAAAAACTGCTCCTGAGCCTCGATATTAATTAAACCAACTGCAGTGACATATTTGTTCGAAATCTGCGCAAAATATTTAAAGAAATTTTTCGATTTTTCGTACGACATATTGTTAAGAGTTTGAATTTTTGTAGTTGAAAAGCTTGTAAAAAAGGCACTTGGTTATATAAACAGACGAAAATTGGTACAAAAAAAAAAAAAAAAAGGTAAAAAGGGTGAAAGTGAAGAAGAAGAGGGTACACAAGTGTATGATTATTGACATGCAAGTATAGTACAAAGACGTGATTGGTGAGAGAAATAAACGTGAGTAGCGACTGGCGAAATGTATAACATGTACCACAACTATCACCACGTCACGGCAGATTCATTCTAACCTCGCACGGCGCACCAAAAGCAACAAGAGGAAAGCGTTTTCGGGGGGATAAGTACATAGGATCCGAAGATCGTGACAATGGTGAGTTACAGTGTAAATCGTGTCTCAGAAAATCTAGCGGTGCCATTTTTCATTTTTGTCGGTACTTATAATGGTACACATGATACCTTATTTACGTTGCTGTTTGCTTGACGTTTCGCAAAAACTTGCGAAACAGGTGTGGGTCGTACTTATACCTGTGTGTTTTGCATGCAAGAGGGGAGTGACGATTGTATTTTTTGATCAGCTGTAGGTACAATTACATTGGTAAGTTTTTCTTTTTATTGTGTCTATACTCTTTACCAACGTGGTCAAAGTTTTTGTTCGTAAAAACGAGAATTATTGTATTTTACGAGTGTCGGCCGAGAGGGTGTGGGTATATTAGTCTAAATAAAGCTCCCAAAGACGCTTTCACGTGGGCGAAAGACTGCCTCGTCGAACGAAAGCAACACTTTTTTTTTTTTCAAGATGCTACATTATTATTATGATTATTACTATTAAAATGTGTGCACCTAGCTGAACTCGAGCTGAACTTGTGATGACAGTATACCTATTGACAATGCCGACTCCCAACTACCAGCTTGCGTCCGATGCTCTAGGGGTTGCATAGCGACAGGCGCTTCCTTTCTACGTATCGATATATACTTGATGTACTTTATTTTCTTATTGCTCTTGGATTTTCTTTATTTTTTGGGGGAGAATTTCACGAGTTATGACTTATTGACCTTTTGCTTGTTTACGATTCGGTACAGTTTTGCGAGTCGTAAAAAACGTACTTGATGTGTTTTGTTTGGCGGTGTACGTGCTTTGATATAATAGTTGGTGATTTTCATGTCTCTCCATTGGTTTGGTTGTCTTAATCAACAATTTTGCAAACAAATTGAAACGGTGATCGTTCAGCTTTCAAAAGCTCTCGTTTGCTCCATTGTATATAGGTATACGGCGCAAGTAAGTAGTCACATACTGATATGGTCAGACGGCAGTTTATTTGCGTGAAAAAAATGGCACATATCGGAAATCAGTTATACTTTGGTCACGTGATTTTGCAAATAAAATTAGATAACGAAAAAAATATAAATACTTTGCGGAGCTTTCGAAATAAAATTAATTATAGGTGTTGTGTACAAAAACGTGTCTATTTTTACTCGCCCGTCATTTCCTTTTTCGAAAACGATTGTGTAAGCAACGTTGATTTCATAATGATTATTTCATAAATTTTCACATCTTTATCAATAAAATCTCTTTTCCCCAGAAAATTAATTGGCGGAAAAATTTTGTTTCACCACAATTAAATTTTTGTTTTACGAAAATAGCCCAATTTTGTTAGAAAATTGTTTAAAGAAGTGCTTTTTTGATAGTGATTTGATGAAAAAAATGAGCAAACTAAAATGTAGCATTATATTTGGGGAAAAAAAAAACAATAATTCCCTACTCTCAGCATGCAACCCCCATACAAAAATCAAAGTCTCCCCAATGCCATGTAGGAATATAGGTTACTCGCACTAGCTCTCGAAAAGGGATCAACGTACCGTCAGAGAGAGAGAGAGAGAGAGAGAGAGAGAGAGATATATATTTCCGACACACTTGCGATCGTTGCATCTCTTGAAAAAGAAAAACAAACGGACGCACGTACACGCGCATAAACCACGTCGTATCGCTTCCTCTCGAGATCAGCGACGAGTGCACGAGAGTCGCGTGCGTACGCAGATCAGAGGGAGCAGCGCCGAAAGCTCATTCCGGGAGAGCAAGAGAGAGAGAGTCAGCCGAGAGGGCGCCGGGAAAATTTGGCGATCGGTTGCAGTAGCTGCGTTGACCACCTACCGATCGACTGTCTTTTCGCTCCGTTGCTCTTTCGCTATATATATATATATTTTTTTTTTTATTTGCGCGCGCGCGATCGCGTTGTGTACACAACCTTGGCTTGCCGGCCCGGTGCACTCGTCTGATTTTTTCGTTGTTGTTGTTCGATCCACTGTATACGCGCGCTTAATTCATCAGCTGGACATCGGAGGGACCGGCGGAAACTGGCCGATCGTCTGTGATCGCTTGTCAACTGTTGCGCCCTGCAAGTACGTGATCTACTTCGAGTGGGATTTTTTTTTTTTTTTTTTTTTCAATTAGTTTTTACGTAACTCTGTGTGCTTACCTACTTGCATTTTCATGCGCTTTGAGCTTTCAATCGACGGCTCTTTGCGTCGACGCGGTCGTTCACTTACGTAAATGCGAGGGTGGCACCTATCTGTACTTTTTTCTTTTTTGTTTCTTATTGTTTTGACCGTAATTGATGTGATGGCTCAACGGCGTTGTTTTTCTTTCTTCTTGGAATATCTTGTTTTTTTCGTTCCGGGGATTTCTGCCACCACTCGGGAGCTTTGTTTTTTTTTTGTTTATGCTCAAGCTCGAAGATGCACGCAAGTGTTCGCCGATCGTTTTGTTTTTCGTTTTATTTTTGAAAAAGTCTAATAAAAAAATAAAATGGAAGGAGTATGACTTTACTGGACAATGCAACTTTTTTTTAATTTAATTGAAAAAAAAAACAACAAAAAACAAAGAAGAAAAATGATGATCCTATCAAAATATATATAAATAGACAGTCGCAGCACGTAGTTTGTTTTTAACGCGATTAAACAAAAATTTGAAATCGAGCACAATAACAACAAAGCAGGGATATACTTGTTGCCAAACTGAAGTTTAAAATCCTTGGATTCTTCAAGCTTGTATACATACGTGATCACGAGACGTGTAGGTACAACGAAACGATTGCTAATGCAAGAAACGAGTGTTCTCGTAAAATATATTAAAACAAATTGTCCGCACAGCTTGTAGTATAACGAGCCTAAATGAGAATTTCGTGCCTAGCGCGTCGTGTTTTCTCGCTCCTCTCGTCTCGGGTCTTTTCAAAACATAATCCGCAAATCAGTCATTAACTCTTGCTGCTCGTTATTCATTTGGGGCCCCGTGAATCACGCACCCTCGACTCTTTTTTTCCTTTCTTTTTTATTCAAATGCACGCACGCAATGCAACATATATTATTATTATTATTATTATTATGGGTGCATGGAGCGAAATGAGCGCGAAACATTACCAGAGCGTATAATAACAATCATTATATATTACCCCGACACTACGTTACATCCCTATATCCACTCCTCCAGTCCTCGTGTTCGTGCAGTGAGGTATTCGTACCACGAAAATATACCGCACCGCTATTCTACACGTCTCTACTCTGACTTATCTATGTGAGCGACTGTGCTGTTGCCGCGGATATATATATATATATATATACGCACGCGTTTCCAAAATTAAAAGCGATCGCTGGCCTCAGAATTTGCATTTCTGTCCGTCTCTCCTTGCGCGTCTGTTGCCTTTGCCACTACTTAGGTACGCCTAGACAACCGTTTCTCGTCTCAGTGAAGAGGATTTTTTTTTCATAGCTTGACAAAGAAAAAATAAAATTCCTCTCTCTCTCTCTCTCTCTCTCACCTTTAAATGGAGTCGACTCTTCGAGATTTCGCGTTTCCACGGTTTTTCCCACTCCCCGTTACGTAAGAGTTTCCGTGATTGCTGCTCCGGAGTAGAAAAAAAAGTAAGTCGGCCAACCACCTTTTTTCCTTTTTTTCTTTTCAAATTGAAAAATGCAGAGACCTTTTTTTCACCCTTAAAATATTTCCCACGTCAGGAGTACAGGCATTCGGTATGTATATTACCTCATTTATCGCAAACTGTTTTCATCAGTGCTGAATATATACGCGAACGAGGAAGCACGAGCGTGAATGGTTTTATTTAATTTTCGACACGCAGTTCTTACTTGCTTTCGTGAGCGTTAATGTTTTTTTTTTTTTTTTTTTTTTTTTTTTTTTTTTTTTTTTTTTTTTTTTTTTTNTAGGAATATAGGTTACTCGCACTAGCTCTCGAAAAGGGATCAACGTACCGTCAGAGAGAGAGAGAGAGAGAGAGAGAGAGAGAGATATATATTTCCGACACACTTGCGATCGTTGCATCTCTTGAAAAAGAAAAACAAACGGACGCACGTACACGCGCATAAACCACGTCGTATCGCTTCCTCTCGAGATCAGCGACGAGTGCACGAGAGTCGCGTGCGTACGCAGATCAGAGGGAGCAGCGCCGAAAGCTCATTCCGGGAGAGCAAGAGAGAGAGAGTCAGCCGAGAGGGCGCCGGGAAAATTTGGCGATCGGTTGCAGTAGCTGCGTTGACCACCTACCGATCGACTGTCTTTTCGCTCCGTTGCTCTTTCGCTATATATATATATATTTTTTTTTTTATTTGCGCGCGCGCGATCGCGTTGTGTACACAACCTTGGCTTGCCGGCCCGGTGCACTCGTCTGATTTTTTCGTTGTTGTTGTTCGATCCACTGTATACGCGCGCTTAATTCATCAGCTGGACATCGGAGGGACCGGCGGAAACTGGCCGATCGTCTGTGATCGCTTGTCAACTGTTGCGCCCTGCAAGTACGTGATCTACTTCGAGTGGGATTTTTTTTTTTTTTTTTTTTCAGGCGGAAAACATGGACGACGACGAGGGAACGAGCGTCGAGGTGTTCGTCTACGATCTCTCAAGGGGCATGGCTGCAGTTATGTCACACATGCTCATAGGTATGCACATTTCTTCAAGCCTCTACAATTTTACAAATGTTTTCATAGTTATCGAGCTGGCGTGGTAATTTTGTTTAATAAAAAAAGAAAATCATCGGGTCAAATATTGTTATTTGCAAAAAATAAACATCAGTAAAAAAAAAACAACAACAACGACAACTTGAGTTATTCACGACAGTTAGGAGGCATGAGTCGAAAGCGTCAATCGAAACGTTCGCAAAATGTTTCAGTCCTTGTCGATCCGGTCAGTCATCGCCCGTCACCGATCTCTGGTACCTTTCCTCTTTTTGTTTCCATCCCAGCGCGTCATCGCCTTTACGTATACACTCCTCGGGGAGCCACTTTTTCAAAGAGCCCTCGATCCTCCTCTCCGATTTATACGCGCAGCCGCGATCCCTCCCGGCTTATACATTGCGCGGGTCTTCCCCTCGGAACCGCGTGCCAACAGCTCGAAAAGCGGGTACACGCGAGCGCGTTAATTTTAGAGGCCCCGAGCTTTGTCGACTCTTACGGGCTTTAAATTAGAGTCCGCTGCACTATATGCGCGGAGATAAGAGAGCATCAGGTATACATTGACGGCGACCCACACCCATGCTCGCTGAATCCCCACCCCTGTGTTTCCAAAGTCAATTGCAAACATGGAGTTGGCTGTGGCGGCGAAAAATCGCTTTTTTCCTCTCTCCCTCCCAAAGTTATACTTTATCACGTACACTTGGCATAGATGCGGTCGCGGAAGCTCGTGAGAGTGACGATGACGATCGGGCGAAAATAGCCAAAGTGGCCGATGCGCGAAAAAAAAAAAGTGGCCTTCCGAAGTGATCGGTATACAGCGCGGGGGGTTATTTGGCTATTCGTTTGACACTTCTTTATGTTGTTGCTGTGTCGACTCGTGCTCTCTTTTATAAATATGATTTAAATCGAAAAACCGAGATAATGTACCTTCCATTTGAGACGTGATTGTCTTTCCGGGTGCCCGATATACTGCACTACACTGAGATCGTTTATAAGCGTTTCTGTTGTGTATACGTGTGTTTCGTGTTTTTTTTTTTCGCGACAGAATCCATGTGATTTCCAACGTACGCGCGTTGCAAGTGAGATACCGAGCAAGTTATTCACCTCGAGAGCGCGCGATTCTCTACACTTGGGTTTCTATGGTTTCCTGTTGCGAAAATAGCCACCCCGAGGCCCGAAATCGCGAGGTACGTTGCGTTGTCTCGAGTACCTAAACCGCGGAGATGCAAAGTCGATAACACAAACCATTTTTATTACGTGCGCGATTTTTCATCGATTGGGACGTACTTACCTATTTTCGCTCGTCCGTGGAGGCGGTGGATAGATTATATGTATTTCAGGATCTTTGGATAGGGGGGAGGCGAAGTATTTTAATTTTTGCGCAACCACTTTGCCATTTAGTTATTTTTCTAGCTAATAAATCAGAGGCAAAAATATTTTTGGGTTATTGGGTTGTATGGATCTTCATTGTGGCTAATTGGGATTTTTCGTAGCTAAGGAAATTAACATTTTTAACGATTTGTGTCTTTTGAGAGGTGCCCACTTGCTGTCGCTTATTTCATACGCTTAGAAAAATACTGTTAATAATAAAAAAGGCAAATGCAACTTACTTTTCTTTTTTTTATTTATTTTAAGCTTGAAACGTATAGAAAAACTGAAAAAAAAAATTCTTAACATAAAATACTCGTGTTTTGTATCCCCACCGCGATTTACTTCAAAATAAGCCTCGAAACATTATTATAGAACCTCTTCAATAAGTATACGATTATCAAATACAATTGATATTCAACCGGAAATAAGTGTTATTTTTCCGCCCCCCCCCCCCC